AAATAAAATACTGTGTCAAGAATCTTGAATTCATCTCAAAGTAGTTTTATGCTATGTTTGTAATACTCATCAAATAGAAGACGAATTCCATTTCATTCGTCAATACCCTAGATATCTAAATTTAAGAAAAAATATATAAATGAATATTATTACAAATCGCCAGGTACATTTAAATTAATCCAATTGTTGGATACAAACCGCATATCTACCTTGGTTGGTTAAGGGAAATATATCCATTACGCTGTAATATTACGTATCGAAGATCTATCGTGTTAACCTAATTTCTATCTGTGTAAGGTTTATATTTTCAGATGTCTGTACATTAAAACAGCATCGCTATATATTGTATTATAACTTTGAATTATGTATCGTACTGCTTTATTCAATATATTATTGTATTGTATACTATAAATGAGTGGAACTATGGGACTGAGGAACACTTGACCAGGGGTTTCACCCCCCCCCCCCCCCCAATTTAGGCTCATTGAGAGTCTTAAATTTTGTAATATATGTTATTATATGTTATTTTTGTAAACTGATGGGCTGTAATGCCCAAAGTTATATATTCTGAATTAACTTAATATACAAATTTACAGAGTTACAGGATTAAAAAGCAGATATTATAATTGTCATTTGTTGCAAAAATTGTCAAATGAGGCATGGGATGAATTATGTTATTGAATGTTTGTTATGACAAAGGTGTCAGTAGCGGAGAATTAAATACTAAGTTCACTGCTATTATTTACATCAGTTTCATTGTGCTGTCCATGAGTGAAGCATATGAAAAACTAACCCTTGGACTTTACCTTTTTTAAAAATTCCAGATATCATGAGACAATTTCTAGATTAGCAGTAAATTTACTTTTTAAAGCAAAGCAGACTTTAGTTTATTTCCTATCAAGGGCTAATAGAGAGAGAAGAAAGCGTTACAATTGTAGATAAAGATGAAGACAGTGATAAATTATTATATAAAACAAAATTTCAGGAATTTTTTTTTTGTATGGACAGAACAAGTTGTGTTTTAAAATGTAACATTATGTAGTTAAAGAAGTAATTTCTAAGCGAATTAATAAATATAAAAGGGAAGGTTATGACTTTGAAAATTATTTTTAAAAAAACTGGCAATATCGACTTGAATTTTGTCTACCCATTTACGTAAAAGAAATGCACAATGAGTCAAAATAAAAAGGTGTATGTTTGACTCTATGAATACACAATAAAGTCCAGGCTAGAAAAAAATGAGTAAAATAAAAGCAACCCTCGTTAGTTCCTCTTTGTACTTTCAGAATATTTGATTCGATGTAAATACACCTTTTACTTTTTTTTTAAAGGTGGATAGCAGAAATTTATTCTTTCCATTAATACGGAATATTTCGTCTACTTGATCACGGCGGTTGTGACCGATCGACAGTGGATGCTTACTTCTTCTAGACGCCTTATCCCACCTCTGGAATTTCAAAGGTTCCATGTTTTATGCCCTGTTCAGAGATTTGTATTATTTGAAAGGTGTGTTTTTTTTTTGTTTTTTTTTGTTTTTGTTTTTTTTTTTTTTTGGTAGGTCAATTCGTTAGTTTTACCTTTTTCATTTCAATGTTCTTATTTTATTCCATTAATTCCAATCCATTCAAAATTCTAACAAATATATTGAAACTGTTGGAAAAAACTTCGATTGGTTGGTTGATTAGATGTTTTACTTTGAATTCCATTCGAAAATTTTTCGCTCATATAGTCACCATTTACCGGTGAAAGGCTTCAAATTTAGACCTATACTCGGCACTAAGGGTCATTGGGCAGTGAGGGATATTTGTAGTGCCAAAGCCTGCCGTGACACGGGGTCTCCGTTTTTAAGGTTTCCCTCGATTGACCCGCAACTTTTACTTCAAAGTTCCAAGCGCTTGACGAGGGAAGAGTTGTTACCTATTTTTTATCGACCTAGGTCAGTCGACGCGGGGTTTGAACCCAAGACCTTCATGGAGTGAGCGCTTTTCCGAATGAGCTACCGTGACGGAGGGAAAACTTTGAAATTTAGGCCAGAGTTTTTATTTTTTTTTGGTTTACGATTTTCTGTCTCAAAAAAATGCATTGGGTGGTCGAAAAATAAAAATAAAAATAATTTTGGATTCAACAATTTCATTATAAAATAACAGAAATGTTTATTTTAATATAAATAATACACGTCAATAGTACTTTTAAGTTTTATTGTCTAGATCACATAACTCTTTTTATTTAATTTTAATTCATTTCTAACTTTAGACTGAATGTCATTTTTATTTACATATAGTTCTGATTTTTGTTTGTCAATCAGTGCTTGGTTCATGATGTTCAACATTTTGTGCTCTTCAGTGATATGTGATGTGTTATAAACCTTGGTATTTAGATTGAAGAAAAATACAATTGAAGTGTTTAACAATATTAAAAGTAATTGACGTTGAAATAAAGGTTATAATAATTTGATCATGCAGCTATCAAATTTAATGTTCAACCTGCGGCAAAAAAGCCTAATAATTTCTCAATCAAGTCCTTCTTTAAATGTTTGTTATGTACCTGTACAGTAGGCAATGCTCATTATTTATTAGTAATTCAAAGGACTTTAATCTCAATTGAGTATGAAATTTGCAAAGATTTGTATATTGAATTTACTTCTATAAACTAACAAATGTTTTATACACATTTGAATTTCTCCAGTGAAATACCAGTCAACGTTGCTTCAACTATTAAGATGTATCTCTCAACACTAAACTGGCCTAACTATTATCCATGGATTTATCAGCCTATTTTGGGAAACACCATTTTTGGGGAATTGGGAAAAAATTATCGGCTGTTTGATGAAATTGCAAATTTTTTTTAAAATGTTGCTTAAATCATGTACTCAGGGGTAATTCATTTAACATTTCAGCACGAACTCTAATTTGGGCAACCAAATGACAATTAAATATGATCCATCTTATTCGTACAAAATCAATTATGAATAATAGACTAATAAAAGTAAAATGGACTTCAATGAGTATAAAGCATTTATACAACTTGGGTAGTACATGTACATGTGTGTATGAGATTTCAATTTAGATCATTATAGTATCTGTTTCTGGAGATTCTAAACCTCCTGCAAAAAATTATACTAAGAACGCATTTTCTAAAAGTCCTCTTTTAATATGTATTAATGCATTGAAAATATATTTTTCTATAACTGAAATAATGCCTAAAGTCCTTACCATTAACTCGCAGATCAAATGAGTAGGTGGAAATAACTTAATAAATCTGTATAATTACATAATATCATCATTTTTAGAAAAACAGAGGAAATTCGGATTAAAAGTTGGCGATGTTTTTACAGTGTTTTTAAACATGTGTTATGACTGTAGCTTTGCTAAATGAATTAAAATTACAGACAATCTGACAATTTTACTTAGTGTTTTCCCAAGATAATTAAAAATAAAAGCATTGTTCACCAATTGAGAAAAAATACTGCCAAGTTGGGAAAAACTGAACTCATTTTCAATTGGGAATGGGCCGAACTTCGGCCCCTGAGAAGGCACTGATAAATCCTTATTATCTATAGGTGTATCCGTGTCTGCTAGGTCGATCAGGGTTGGGCATACACTCTCCAATATTACGGTATGAATTTAGCCAATTGAGACATTGCAATTGGAGAAAGGGATCATTTATCCAAGATTTTATTCACTTTTCCATGCAGAAAAAGTTCTTTAAGTGTGTGTCATTGCTTTCAGTGAGGAATTACCTTGTTACATGACAGAGCCGCCATTTTTGGTTAGCACATGTGTTTATTTACGGTTACCTAAATGTTTGTAAAGGTCTCATATATTTGTAAGCGCTTATTTGACTAAGATGCATTCTAAAATTTAAAACCCACCAGTTCAGCTGAGAAAAATCCGGAAAAATATGTCGGAAAAAGACATTATTTTTATTTTCATGATTTGTGAAAATTAGGGTCGGCGGAATCGTAAACCAAGTGAAAAAAAAACTTTGGCCTTATCAACCAAAACATGCATTCATATAAGTGTGCAAAAATATTATAAACAGGATAGAGACACTTTTGATTTCTTTTGGAATATAGAGTTTTTATAGTTGAGAAATTGCAAGGTATGCAAGAAATCGAAGAAATTTTAGAATGTAACGATACAGAAAAAAACCAGATCAACACATAGGGCTCAGGTCGGATGAGACCAGTCGACAGGGGATGTTTACTCCTCTTAGGCACCTGATCTCACCTCTTGAATTTCCGGGGGTCTGTGTACTATGCCTTGTTCACAGATTTGTATTGATTGTAGGATTTTAGATATCGATCACTGTTCTTTATTTTCACTTCATATTTGCTAATGATATTGTTTTCTTCTAAAACAACATCTATGATATGAGTTGAAGAGATTTCGTATGAAGATAGTAGTGCGATAATTTTAAGATTTCATAAAATAAACTCTACTTCATACAGATAATTATTTTTATATGCATCTACATGTATGTTGTTTGTTCAAAAAACACCTTGAAATATTTTCTGGTTTAATTCAAGAACATTCTGAATAATCTTCTTTATGGGATGAGTCACGTACATATTTGCAGTGGCTATCTTTATGACCATAATAATGTGCGATGTTTCATTAGACAATGCACTTTATCAGCATTTTATTAGTCCTAGCAGCTACATGGAACATGGGTACCGATTTATGCTGGGAGTGAACCGGGGAGGGGGGGGGGATGAATGAGCCTCATGGCTTGGAGAAGTTTCTAACTTACTAGTATTAACAATTTTTTTGCAGTTTACCATTGTTCCCTCCATACAAAGCCGGGGGAGACAGTACTTTAAAAGGTCAGGATTTTGACAGTGGCATGTCATAACAAATAGCTTAACACCAACGGTTGCAACCGATCGTTATTATATTTTGACAATTTTGTCACCCAATGCTGTAATATTCATGGTTATAAAATGGGCCCTAATCATACAAACACAATTAATCTGAAAACTATTGGATATATAGGTGTATTCAATATAAGTGTGTTCAATATGTCCTCTATCATGGAGAGAAAGGTAAGATAATTATGATTTGTTTCCAAACCCTCTGATATCTTAACATATACCTAAGTTTATGCGTATTAATGGTTTTAAAATCAAAGGTATTCCACATCATAAAGAAAGATGCGTTCTTTTTCAATAAATTTAAATAAAATGGTTAGGAAAATTGTGAAACGATAGCGCTGGCATTATTGACCTTTATTTTGTCTTATTTTATTAACATTAAAAATAATATACAATGAGTCATAATAAGAAAGAATAATAATAATAACAATATAATAACAATGCGTCATAATAAGAAAGATGTACATGTACGTTTGGCCATCGATATTTATAATTCAGGTTAAAAGAGAAACAAGTACAAAAAAATTCTAGTTCGTTATTCTGTGTATTTTCAGAGTCTTGATTCGATGTAAATATACCTGTAATTTTTTTTACTTTTGAAAAAGTGGACGGGCAGAGTCATAGTTTTCCATCCAGTTTTAATATTCATGTTTAATTATCTCATTTTTCATTCAAAATACTTAGTTACATATTCTTTTAAATTTTTAAAAAAATATTTTGAAGTTACTCAACAGAAAAATGGAATCATATAAAAGTAAAAAAAAGCAATGAATATAAATAGAGACACCATTTATTTCTTTAGGAATATAGAGTATCGTTAGTTGAACAATTACAAGGTATGAAAGAAGCAGAAGAGATTTGTAATGCAACAATACAAAAACACGGCCCAACTACAGGTAAGATTACTTATCTCATATCTTACTACGAATTTGGAAAGATTTTTGCCGCATTTTTTTTTCTGCGTGCACGATTTTTCTTTTCAACGGGTTTGAGTGAGATTTTAAGAAGGAAAAGTTTAAGTTACGGAAGAATATGATATTTTTCAGATCCATTGAAAAATAAGAATTAAAATTTAATTTTTTTTAGTTTTCCATACTAGCCATCTGTTTTCATTATATCTTACAAATCTGTACCTCCGAAGATTCTTTTCTTTTGGGAGAATATATAATTTGAAATATCACCCAGATATGATTTTTATTCATAAAATATATTTATTCATAAATTAGAAACTAGTTGAATGAATATTACAATAACATCTTATATCTCAATGGACTTCGTATTCTTATAAATATAATTTAAAGTGCAGTCATGTATACAGCACACAATTTTGTCAAACACTACAAAACGGATATCTGGTTTTATGAGCCCCAGACATATGAAATAAATTTTAAAATAAACGTGACTTTAAAAACAAGTCTGTAAAGTATTCGAGGTGTCTCAGTTGAAAACATAACTGAAGAATAATACGAGGGGTGATCAGAAAGTTCGCCAACTAATTGAATTACTTCCATAAAAGAAATAAAGTTAGTTTTCAGTGTTTATTATTTTTTAAAATAGCCCTCTCCGATTTTAATGCACATCTGCCACCGTTCTGCCCATGCGCGAATCACGTGATCCAGGCGATCACATGACATGCTACGTAGCGTTCTGTTTACAGAAGCTAAAAGATTTTTCCGAGTCTTATATTTCTTACCATGCAATTTATTTTTTATAACAAGAACAGTCCCTTTGTCAGAAATATCCAAATCTCGGCAATAGGATGGGTGGATAAGTATATCCTTTACCAGAATGAGCATGGTGACCATCAAAACCCGAGTCCTCTGTCTTGGGAGCGTCATTTTTTCAATGTGGATAAAATAAAGGCGTTTTCTATTTATCATGTCTGATATGTTTAGAGTCTAACGTAAACGATATTTTAGGGATTTGATAATTATTTGATTGTTAAAATGTTCAACTATTTTTCTAACTGTCATTTGCCGATCTTTCGTAACAAATTGCTCAACTACGGACACATCTCTTCCACAGCTTGCTTTCACTGGGCAACAGAACAAACGTCATTTTTAACCATCTCCCTTCCTTCACCAAAACAATAAATCCAATGAATGATTGAATTTCTGGCAAGTCTTTTGTCTTCATAAACCTTGTACAAATTATTAAAAGCTACAGATAAGGAATTTCCAAGATGTACGTCAAATTTTACAGCCGTTCGTTGCTCGAGTACGACTGAGTCAACCATTTCTTGTCACAAGTTATCTACATATTGATGTCATTTTCACATTTTTCACATTCACAAACATGAAGTAAAACATTACATATCACCTGCTATGTAAAGAACGTTTGTATGACTATATGTGTGCCAAATTTCATTCTGATCTGAATTGCAGTTTTGTAAATTTAGAGATAGTTCCCGAACTTTTTGATCACCGCTCGTAAATGTCTGCTGACAAATAACTCAATAACTCAAAATTTTTATAGTTTTATGATACATGTACTTTTTTTCATATTTCGATTTTTATGTATTAGAATTCATTTATTCTTATAATTTTTTTCCTTGTGGACTTCAGTTTATTATTATTAATATAAATATCTTTCTTCTCGTTTTTTTTTTTAAACATTTTGTTTATTTCAGTATTTCACTGTAGTACTCATACAGTATTGGGAAAAAAATCATCAAGTTTCAAGTGAAATACATTTTTAAACTTTATCCTTATGTATTTACATAATGAAAAAGACAAGATTGATGTGGATAAATTAAGTTGACTTCTTTTCATCACAGACCTACTATGTCCTCCTGTGTGGGATCATATAATGTGTTGGAGGTCTGCAAAAGCAGGGACAACCGTGTCAGCTCCGTGCCCTAGTTATATAGACAGATTCCTCGTCAATGGTTAGCACAGATTTAAATACTAATGTTCTACTAAATTATATAGCGTATTTGTATCCATTGATCAATGATAAGAATCAGAATTACTAATTTTTAAATGCAAATGTTCTACATCTTATAATTATCCATGTGTCAAAGATCAGGTCCAAAGACCATAAGCTAAATACAGACTTGTAAAAGTAAAATTTTCGATTTTGAATATTTCATTTTTATTTAATCATTATATTGGGGAAAAAAATGTAATATTCAAATGTAAACACGTGATGATTTCAGAATTAAACTAATTTGAATTTGACTTTAAAAGCCTGATCTCAGTTTATGATCCTGGAAAACCAGAGATACTTGAAGTTCGACAAATATATAATAGAGAATCCCAATCTTTTAGCTGTGTATCGGTAATTACGACCTGCAGGCACATTTTAATAACTCACTTTCGCCAAAGCTTAAGTAAGACCCCTTAAAAATTCAGATTCTTGTAATTTACTCCAAGCTGATTTAAAGCAAAATCAAAATAGATACTAGACAAGTTTATATAGCCATTTCTCATTTCTATGGTTTCAGATAAATGTAGATTTTTCCTCAGAATAATAAAAATAAAATTATCATTCTGTGCATTATAGGGGTAAAATTGCGAAATAAAATAATCTGTTCATTTTAGGTGTTGCGAAAAGGACATGCACGATTGATGGTACGTGGTACATAAATCCACATACGAACAGCACATGGACAAACTTCACTTATTGTATGGAAAGTGAAAATAGTCGAAACTTATTAAAAGTACGTTCATGTATTATGTACTGGATACTTTCAAGAAAATCACGCATTATATTTTTTGTTTAGCCCACGAAGAAATCTCTATGATAATGGGGCCGATGATCAGTACAACATTTCTTACCTTAATCTGAATTCTCTCCACGCCAGAAGATGCATAAGGACGTAACGCTCTCTTTCCATTGCTCTTCATCACTAGCTGCTGGTAGTATTTCAGCTTGGCCAACCAGCTGCATTCCAAATAAGCTTCATTACTATACAGTCATTAATTGATACATGCTATACATACTTTTGCAAATGAAGTGCATGGATAATGAATAGAAATTATGCTGAATAGTCGATTTAAACAACACAAATTGTAAGTAGAGCCAAAACAGACCTCTGAAAACAGGTTGGATCAATAGCCATAGAGGAGTAAGCATTCCCTATCGACCGATCAAACCCACCGTGTGCTCTTGCCATACGATAAACGGGGCTAAAAATCCGTAGATCAGTGAAACAAAGTAACTTTGTTAACAGTTTATAGTTTTATGAATTATGCATGCAAAAATTATTCCGAACGATTTTTCTTCAAAAGGGATTTGATAACCACGGTAGCTAAGTCGGTAGAGCGCTCGCTCCGTGATAGAAAGGTAATGTGTTCGAATCACGGCCGCGACTGACCTATAAGTTGATAAAAAATAGGTAGCAACTGTTCCTTCGCCAAGCACTCGGCACTTTGAAGTGAAAGTTGCGGGTCCTTCGGGTGAGACCTTAAAACCAAGGTCCCGTGTCACAGTAGGCCTTGGCACGATAAAGAACCCTCACTGCTCAATGGCCCTAAGTGCCGAGTAAAGGTCTAAATTTGAAGCCCTTCACCGGTATATGGTGACGTCTCTATACGAGTGAAAAATTATTCTCGAACGGGACGTAAAACAACATACAACCGATCTATAGGGATTTGAAATCGAGAGAGAGAGAGAGAGCTCTAGACTTTAAAAATTACATGTATCGGTATTTGTAAGCTTTGTTAAAGATGACAATGCATAATATCTATTATGATTTCAATTCTGTTGCATGCTTTCAAATTTATTAAAAATTAATGTTCACGTTATTTCTTTTCAGAAAAATCTAAATCATATACAGACTATTTCTTTGGCAGGCTATACGCTTTCTATCGTATCCCTTATTATTGCGGTGATCATGCTTCTAAGACACAGACACAGGTGAATATTCAAGTAATTAAGGCCACTAGCCTCAATTCATGAAAATAGATCCAAAGTAAAATTTAATTAATATTTAAGTAAAATAAATGACTTTAGCAAATAATATTTTATTCAAATTTCTGACTCAAGTCCTAAAAAGTGAATAAAACATATGGATTTATAAGGGTAAGGTGAAAATCTAGAATATCATAGAAATAAATGATATTCAATGCTGTGTACCTTGATATGGAACTTATTTAACGCATGGGACAGCAGTCTTAAAATATATTTTGTTGAATGCAAAGCACTGTGAAAATATCCTTTTTGATATATTCTCTGTGAAAATATCATTTGAATTCAATGGTTAAATTACAATATTTAACAGTTGAAAAATATAATAAACATACATGTTTACATTTAAATATTGTTTATTGAATAATAAGAAATGCAATATATTTAAATAACTAAGATATAATAAAACAATTCATATTTCAGCATAGGCTCTAATCGACCGCGGTCGAAGATAACCACTCTACATTTAAACTTGTTCATCGCTTACGGCCTAAGATACATCACATCACTTTTGATGGAACACGTATTTTCCAGCAGCACCATTAAACAACAGGCAGGGGAGATCACTGAATTGCAGATTCAAAACTCGGTCAGTAATGACAAGGACACTATATCATTAATATGGTTTTTATATGACATGCGTTGTGCATGTTACAGGTTTATACGAAACCAAACAACGAGAAATACTTGTTGGTAGGTTTGTTAGTAGGGATATCAGTTAACTGTAGATATGGATTAATAATTAGGAAAAAGTGTGCACAATTGCAAAAATGAAAAAAGGTGAAAATAACTAACAGTAATCGCACTACGAATCCTGAACCGGTCAAAAACAAGAATCCCTAGAAACACCAGGGGATCAGGTGCTTACGAAGAGTAAGCAGTCACGGTCACCGATCATACCCGCCAGGAGACTTCTGTACTTATGGGGTAAACGGAGCAATTCGTAGTCAAAATGGTAAAGAACCAATTGCCTAACAATTGTTGGGAATATCAGTCAAAATATGTGTTCAAACAAGGTCATTATATCAACCATGGAATTTGATTTATTTAACTGACTGGTTGAACTGACTTTAAAAGAGAGATGGTTGAAACCCCTGTAACATCAACGTATTTGTCAGTAGCCTGTCTCGGTGTAAAAAATTGATCGTACTCAGGGCATGTTCTTCAGTGTCAAATCAGTAGGAAGACATCAACGTCATCTGCAGGTGATCGTGAATATGTGGAATATTACTACATAGTTAGGGACATTTGACCATGGAAAAGGTGGTTATCCTGTTTGTCGTATAGTAAGATGTTATTTGGCCATTATGGTCATCTGTCTGTCTGTCTCTCTCTCTCTCTGGGAGGTAGTATTTGTAAGATAAGTATTACGTGTAAATATGTATTTGTAGCATTGGGGGTGTAAGCTGACCATGACGTCTTTTGTGTACACTCTACTAGCCAGCACTGTGTGGCTTAGTGTTGATGCTTCTGTCCTCGTGTGGATGATCTGTTGCAACCCGTTGTATTTTCAAAAACGAAACAACATTTTCCCTCATCTTTTAATAGGATGGGGTAAGAAAAGACGTGACATCACCTTTGCTCATTGTTTTTATTTATGCATATTTCTATATCTCTTCATATCTTAAAAAACAATGTATTTCAATATCATAGCTTTTCTGGCTTTTATTTAATATTATCTTCAAATGTCTTTAACATAAATAAATTTCATACATACATGGTTTACGTTTAGAAATGAATTACATTTTGCATTATGTACCTATTTCTTTTTACGTAGTTGTTTAATAAACTAAAAAAATATTGTAGGGTGTACTATTTATTGATATATTTTTTGCTTTGATTGGAAGGACAATATCTGTCAGAAACACTTTTTCTTGCACTAGTGTTATACTTGATTATTAATTCATTTGTAGGTGGACCTTTGTTTATTGTCATACCTTGGGTTAGTCTGCGGAGTCTCTTAGATGATGAAATGTGAGCCTTTTTTTTTTTTTTAAATATTCTTCTTTTCTTTGTTTCAAGTAAGATGCTCTTTTCACCGGCATTTCAACATTCAATAATGAGATCCACCGAAAAAGTGATTAAAAGTGTTTTGTTTCTATCGAATTATATGCACGCCAAAGTCTTACCTCATCTTTTTTCTCGACAAAGACTTGACGGAATATATTTTTTATTTCACTTTTTTTGCACACCTGTATGGTGCTGGCTTTTAAAACACAGCAAACGGTTATTTTTCCGTGTTAACTTACAGAACTTTTTATATTCTTCTTGAACATTATATTTCCTCAGATCGAATGCTACGTTTATTTGTCATTTGTTTGTTGTTCGTTTTCATTAATGTATTCATGAAGTTGAAATCTCATTTTGCTGACATGTAAATCAGAAATATTTACGAGGGGTTATCAAAAAGTTCGTGGACTAGCGCCATAAAATTAAAACCGCTTTAGGTACATCAATGAATTTTAATACATTTAGTTAGCATCATCTTGTCTATCGTTAGAATAAACCATAAATCATAAGTTTTTATTTTTTAATAAATTGTTATTGTTTTTGTAAGCAATGGTATGTCCAAGCGGCGCAACCTCAAATATGACGTTTTTTCTACCTGAGTGTAACTGAGAAAAATTCTTTTGATATGAGCATTTGTTGTCAAAAAATCCGGTTAATCCAGGCATGTGATACAACACAATTCTTCCGTAAAATTTGCAATTTTTACCCCATTCTGTAAATTCTATGAAATTTTATCGTAAATTTATATGGAGTGTACAAACAATTAAGGGCTCAAAAATGACGTCAAAAAGGGGAGGGGTTTCTGTTTCCAACATTCTTTAAAGTTTCGCACCTGGGAAAACTGGTATAGACCTAGGGAATGTTTAAACGGGCTACAGAAAAATAAAACACATCCAGAGTACTCGTTTTAACCAGCCAAAAAGATTCAGAGAGATGAAAGATGCACAGTTAAAGTCAATTTGTAGTGAGGGTGTCAAAAATCAGTCACGTCGAAAAGTAACGTTGATCATGTGTGGTAGAAATTGAACTCCATCAAGCTAAGCATTCTGGTATAATCAAGTGAGGATCTTTCCTTATGTATAGATACATTTACAATATTATATGCATTGAAAGCAGCTGTTCATGACATTGTAAAGTCACATAAACAAGATGGACTTAAGTCCTTACTTAATTCTAGGTAATCACATCAAGATAAGTGTATAAGGTAGACGGAGTGGACATTGAGAAACAATGACGTTGTCGGACGTCATGAAACTAAACGGCGACTGCGCCGGGTGATCATATAATGTCTTTTTTATTTTAGAATAATTTGGCAAATTATCAACGTATCAAGTTAAAATTTTCAACATTTCTTAAACTTTTGTTGATTTATGTTTTTCATAAATTTTGTAAGCACAGACTACATAGTATTAATTTTATCGCATCAGTCCACGAACTTTTTGATAACCCCTCGTATATCAACTGAATATATTCTTTATATCTTTTGAAAACCGATTGTCGTTAACAATTAATTAACTATAAACAAGTTAGAATTTAAGGAGTATTTAACGCCCATCTTTTTGAAAAAAGTGTTTTCTTCCATCAATGTCAGAAGGGAACCAATTTTACAATGTATTACGTATTTTCACCTACATCATTGAAATAGTATTTAGGCATAAACAATAATATATATTATTCTTTATTTATGCAGGGGTCAACGGATGTAATCATTGCAGAAAAATACATATTCCGCGTAAACGGGTTATGTATTTCTTTCTGCAACGTGGCAACCGTTATCCCTGTATTAACTTACAAAGTAAGCACTTTATTGCTTAGATGAATGCAGATGGATCTTAATGCCAAAAAAAAAAAATAATAATAATAATAAAAAAATTGCTTGCGCCTTTTTTTTTAGTCATAACCATCAGTCTCAAATCCATAGAATTTATATTATTTTTTCTGTTATCATTTAGTTCTTGTGCGTGTAGATATAATGTTGGTACACGAGTTAGTTATTTAGAAACATATCGATAAATACCACATTAGAATTCATTTTCGTACACAACTCACAACCGCAATAATTTCTCACAACTGCTCGAATAATTTTTGTATTATGCAACAAAGAAAGAGCAATTGTGTTTTGTGTTCAGGAATTTACTTTCAAATCAAAATTAAGAAACTTTAGTAAATTAGTCTACATGTGCGCATAGTTGTTAAATAGACAGAATTTGATGAAGAAAAATTTCAATATTTCATTAGGTCCTTCGGATGAGACCTTATTATAACAAGAGGCCCAAGGGCCTTAACGGTCACCTGAGTATAATACAACAATTTAGAGAATCCATAGAGTATAAAATGAACTGAAAAGTGAAGCTTTGTTGCCCAAAAGCAAGAAAAATAGGGTGATCAGGTTCAACAAAATAATTAGTCTAGTGTTCATTAACAGTTCATAAATTAGGTTCTAATCTGTTCCCCATTTATCACTATCACCATACAGTATATTAACAAACTATCAATGCTTCTGTACTATTTTAATTCCTTGTTGAAATCTCTTACATTGGACTCTCTTGGTCTTTGATGAACATTGAATAAGACAAGTTATTTTTGTCTCATTTTTATTTATCTATTACTTACAAGTCTACCTGATCATTAAAACTATGAAAGTACTTTTTGCATTATACAATAAAAAATCTTGCAAAATTCTCTTATTCTATTAACCTTTCAAGTACATTATTTACAGTGACTAATTATCAAAAGTAAATGGCAAAGGGGAATAACTCCCCTCAGTAGAATACAAATTAATAGAGCCCTGGCCAGGACCAGAACACTTGACAAAATGGCCCAGATGTTCAAAAATATTTATTAAAACTTTTACTCTTTTTGCCTCTGATATGCCCAAGTGCAGAGAAGATTTTCAAAGAAATAATGCAGTTTTTACTACAGATTCACTACATTATCAATAGAGCCCCCCCCCCCCCACCTCCCATCCCCACCGAGAAACACCAGAGTCTCTCACCCTGGGACCAGAAGTTTATTCATCATACATGTAAGTAATCACTTTGTTTATCTGATTAACACTAAGGAGCAGACAGGATTATTTAACAGAATTAATGCATTTTCACTACATTATCAAGAGCCCCACCCTTACACCAGCACATCTGACCCAGGGGTCATGCAATTCACTACTCTGGAAGAAGTAATCATGCTCATCATAACTATACACTTAGCTTCTTTGCTTTTTAACCAGAAGCAGAAAAGAATATTTTCAGAGAAATTTTGCTTTTTCACTATATAATCAATAGAGCCCCCCCCCCCCTTTTCACCAGAACCCTTGACCCTGGGGCCATGAAATTCACAATTTTGGAAGGGGCATACTTGCGTATCATAACAATGTACTAATAGTTTGTTTAAATAATACCCAGGCGCAGAGAAGAAGATTTTTAAAGAAATAATTCACCTTCACTATAGGATATATATGGCCCCGCCCTAGCACCAGAACCCCTGATCCAGGGTCCATGAAATTCACAATTTTGGAAGAGGCATCCTTGCTTATCATAACTATGTATTCAATTTGTTTAAATGATACCCAGGAGTAGAGAAGAAGATTTTCAAAGAAATAATGCACTTTCACTATATGATTTATATAGCCCCGCCCTAACACCAGAACCCCTGCCCCTGGGGCTATGAATTTCACAATTTTGGTAGAGTCACTCTTGCTTATCATAACTATGTATTCAATTTGTTTAAATGATACCCAGGAGTAGAGAAGAAGATTTTCAAAGAAATAATGCACTTTCACTATATGACCTATATAGCCCCGCCCTAGCACCAGAACCCCTGACCCTGGGGCCATGAATTTCACAATTTTGGTAGAGTCACTCTTGCTTATCATAACTATGTATTCAATTTGTTTCAATAATACCCAGGAGTAGAGAAGAAGATTTTCAAAGAAATAATGCACTTTCACTATATGATTTATATAGCCCCGCCCTAACACCAGAACCCCTGACCCTGGGGCCATGAATTTCACAATTTTTGTAAAGTCACTCTTGCTTATCATAAATATGTATTCAATTTTGTTCAATAATACCCAGGGGTAGAGAAGAAGATTTTCAAAGAAATAATGCACTTTCACTATATGATCTATATAGCCCTGCCCTAGCACCAGAACCCCTGACCCTGGGGCCATGAATTTCACAATTTTGGTAGAGGGCTCAATGCTTATTACAATCATGTGAACAGTTTGACTGCTTGATGTCCAGGAGTAAAGAAGAAGATTTTTAAAGATTGCATTAATTTTGGTGGTTTTAGCCCCACCCCTCAGGCCCCAGGGGGGCAGGGACCATGAAATTCACAATTTTTGTCCCCCTTCACCCATAGATGCTATATGCCAAAATTGGCTGAAATTGGTTGAGCGGTTTCAGAGAAGAAGCTGAAAATGTTTAAATGTTAACGCACGCCGACGGACAAAAACGGATAGCAATAGGTCACCTGAGTGACTCAGGTGACCTAAAAACCGAGGCCCCGTGTCACAGTAGGCCTTGGCACGATAAAGATCTCTCACTGCTCAAAGGCCCTGAGTGCCGAATATAGATCTAAATTTGAAGCCCTTCACCGGTATATGGTGACATCTCTATATGAGTGAAAAAAATTCTCGATTGGGACGTGAAACAACATACAATCAATTAATATTTCATTTTTTTCATTTATTTTTACAGGTGTTGGATGACGATCGATATAAACAACTATGAGTCTTGGGAGGCATGGTTGTTCTTAGGCCCCGTACTTATTATTAATTCGGTGAGAAAATACTTTGTCAACTGATAAATTTAAGTTGTTTTTAAGAAGCTTTAAAAACTTCTATTTATGGACTTTGAAAAATTATATTTATCTCATTTGCTGTTAACATAAGGTATCTGACATTTGTCGCCAATAGAAATATTCAAAGACAAGTATAAGCGAACAGTATACATTTATTGACTGGGTTCGAGGGCAACAGCGTTTTTTCGGACTCAAAAACCAAACTGTTTGCATGAAGCCGTTAGGCCGAAGGCACACCGTTTGGGTTCGAGGGGTCGACAAAACGCATTTTGTCCGAGAATCCAGTCAATAAATGTTTTGTTAAACCTTTTATTTATTTATTTGTTTTTTTTTTTTTTTTTTTGTTTTTTTGTTTTTTTTTTTTTTTTTTTTTTTTGTTATACATACATCTTTTGCTGGCTTCCATAATAACGAAATAACGACTGCAAATAAGATTTAGCTGATCCCGTCCTCAGTGTGACATGAGCGGTCAGAGGTCCAATATCTCACTCTGCGGTCAAACATCGATTTTTTAATGGCCGCTCAGTAAAGCATTAGAATTTTTTGAATTTTTTAGTATGAATTTATATAGGAACTAATTTTTAAAGGTATAACAATGTTCATTGTTGTAAAGTATTTCATTAGAATCCCGTAACTTACTCTAACTGCATAGGTAAAGAACTCTTCATTGAATAGTGTTTAGAGCTAACTTTGAATATAGAAATGTAAATGTCCGGAAGATCTTTTATTAATTCAAATCAAAATATTTTTAGGTAAACATCGTTTATTTATTCCTGATAGGCAGGTTTGTCAGAAAGAACCACATGATGAAGAAAACTAGCAGCAACTCCACAGAACTGTAAGTATTTATGATGAAAATATATAGAAATGAAGCCAGTATATTAAATTAACAATGCAAATCCTTCAAGAATACTTAAAGAGAGAGAGAGAGCAGATAAAATGGTGATGATTTTTTAAATGTTGATAGGAAATGTCATCCAGTTTCTTAGCTATTTCTTAAAGAAATATTTCATTTTAAAGTATCCTAGCAACACAATATACTTAACTTATATTAAAGCCGATTTCATACCTTTTTGAAAACATTAAATATTTAGGGCACAATAAAGCCCAAACCGTACCTTCTCCTTACAAGAGATCGGGTTTATCTCGTCTTCTTCGATCACCTATTTAATGAAAAATAATCACAAATAATTTATATTACCTCAATTGCACAGTAACAAATGTACACTGAAATAGATTTCAAGATTTTACATGATCTATAAAAGAATTTCACTGAATCTAGCTTAAGAATAATGTTTATGAGAAAAATGTACAAAACTATATTACAAATGTGCTGAGAAATACGAATTAAATATTAATCTGCACGTATATATAAGGATTATCTGTTAATGTATTTCCTCAAATGATAATTGCTTATTCTCGTCGGAGATGCCGAAGTCACTGGACTGGACTCGCTCCCTTATCTTTTCATTGATAAATTTTATTTCTTGACTTAGTGAATGCAAGTTTAAAACAATGTTATAACTGATTATATATTGATATATTCGAAGATTCAGAAGACATTACAGTAGGCCAAAAGAACACACCATTACCACAATACTGTAAGTTTTTAAGTTCTCCTTTGCGATTACATCACAGAAAGCAAAACCAGTAATAGTTACGATAAAAGGCTTGTAAAATGTCATATTCTTTACAGAAACACAGCGAGGCTTGTCTGTATCCTCATTCCTTTACTTGGAGTCCCTGATATTATCCTCACAATTTTGTCATTTTGGCCAAATATCCACTACTTGTACGCTGATATGATTTTCAGTTCGTTCCAGGTCAGTTACTTTATGATATATGAATTTGCACTTTGTTGCACTTTATTTGTGTTGCCTTTATCTCAGGTGTTACTATTCCTAGGGACATGTTCCCGCCTCTGGAATTTCCAGAGGTGCGTGATTTATGCCCTGTTAACAGATTTTGTATTGTTTGAAGGTTTTTTAGATTGACCACGATTCGTTATCTTCACTTTTTCATGCTACCTGTTCAAGTGTCTAATTGCAAAGCACCAATGATATTATAGTTATGGTTGTATCATCGATGTATCTTATAACCTTTAGGTAACATTCGTTTTCAAATCAATGAACTTATACCATAATTCAAACTATGTCTTTACCATGTCTTGTTAAATACAAATAGAGTATACATTAAAACTGTCATTCAAATTGCTGTTTTCAAAGTTTAATAGGTCTTCTAAAAGACACAAATGGCAACAAAGCATTAACTGACAGAAACAAAAGAATGTATTCAAATGGGAAACAAATCAAAGATACTTCTAGTTTAAACAAATGTATTGCAAATGATCCTTTTTGATTTTAAAAGTGTCAATTGACCATTATCTTAATATTATTTTTCAGGGTTTTATGTTAGCCGTTAGTCTATGTTTATCGGAAAGAAAGGTATGGATTTTTCTGTTGTATACTAAAGCAGATTGTAATAAAGCCACTCGCTCATTATTCCTAAGAATAGCATAGAACAAAATTTCTGTTTAATACTTAAAATACCTTTTCATGATTTGATAAAAGTAAAAATCGTTTTGAATTCACTTTTCATATACATAATGTATATGCTAAATCGAAAAAAAAGATCAATTGTTATTAATTTGTTTTCATTATTCATATTACAGGCTGTCCAAGATTTTAGAAGCATTGCTTTACCTTGCAGAAAATTAACAAGGAGGGTGTCCAGAACATCCTCTACTGGGGAAAACACGAGCGTTAATACTTAAAAAATAAGATATCATTTTTAGAGTTTTATTGGGATATGACATGAAGTCGGTCACGTGGGATCAAATTTTATAACGCCCGAAGGTATTGTTTTAATAAGTAGATGCTAGCAGATGAAACACTCTTAAAAATACCTTTAAAAAAAACTGCTAAAATGTTTGCTATTACAGGGGGAAATGATATAAAGTACGAGGCCCATGGACCACAAAGCTCACTTAAATAATTTTAGCCCTTCTGATCTTAAGATTTTCAAAAGATTTCTCTCCTTTATATATATTTCATTGAAAAAAATTGTGACACCATATTATAACCTCATCCTAACTTTAAGGGTATTTGAATCAACAAAACGTACGGATGCTACAATATCAGTATGACTAAATTGTGGCCCTGCATTTAATTCTTTTCATGTATACACGCATTTTGTAAAATTTGAACATAATTTAAGCCAACTCTAATCCAGGGTCTATAATTGGAAAAAAATGAATCCACTCAACTTGGAAATGTCTGCAAATTAATGGTTCTATTATAGTTCTTAAGAGGATTTTTGAATTTTGTTTCTTATATAGTCCAATGTTAAACTTTGATCTGTGCTGTGGCTTTGTCCTACCCCTGGGCAGGATTTGAACAATTTAGAATCTACACAATGTATGGAAACGTTTGAAAACTTGGTGAAAAGAAGACAAAGCTTACATACTAGTAATAAAATGTCTTAATTGTTGAACATAATGTGTCAAAAACGTATTGTCTAATTGTTGCTATAAATAATTATATTTAGCGAGGGGTTGCCATGAAAACAATAAATAATGCAACAATCTCATTTTTGTTCTTCTCACTGTTAATATTTTGAAAAAGAAGACTGGAAATCACATAAACCATGATCATATCAATGTTTTATTGCTCATGCACGTGTCATATAAGCAAACTTTCGTCAGAAAGACAAGTCAAAGATGGACAAAGATGGATCTCTGTTTCCATATCAGATACAAAATAAAGAAATTTATATATTTGTACATTGATACTTGTCTGACTCGACATGTACGTAGACATAAATTTTGTGAGTCAATAGGGTCTCGGATTGCATATAGTTTTAAGAATGTCGGAAATAAAAATGTGGGAATACAAATAAAGGTAGAAATTCACGGTGAAACGGATAGAACAGGTGTCGGATTAGACAGTGTCTACTATAAAAACAACAGACACTAGTATGTTTTGTATACTTCTTTAAAAAAACCTTATTTTTCGTCCTTGCCTTAGTTTGTTATGGTCAGTCACAATAATCGTAGACGTGATTTGTGTAGTACATGCAAATTATACCTATATACTAGAACTGACAACTAGAAAACGTATCTCTACTTACATAATTACATTGTGCGAGTACTTTTTATAAGATTATAACTGCAATAGTTTCAATATATACGCCAACTTATAAAAGTGCAAAGTATGAGAGACTGGCTATAACAAATTCACAACAGGAAACTCTTGAGTGTCTTTAATATATAATTCAGCCTAAACGGACGTTTAGAATCTTCCCTGTATGTGTTCCAAAATATAGAAGGGTTTACAGTTAAAACGACTAAAGTTAGGGTATATGATATTTTAGAAAAATGCTGAGGAAAACATGGAGGCATGTAAATGAACCTTATTTTCAAAAGTAACCATCTCTTTTGGTGAAGCAAAGGTAATATTAAAGTTAAAGCCACTTTTATTTTAATTAAATAGTTATACAATGAATTTAAATTGAAATGTCTTTATATTTTTTCCTTGCTGGGTTTCCTTAACAACAGTAAGAATTTTATAAAATATATAACTTTTCCTTCGTTTTAAAAAAATCAATTATCAGCAGATTCTATATTTTAATCTTCGTTAGAAAAGCAAATGGAAGCAACATTATGCACCATATTTTAATGTTTTCTTTACCTTTTTATTATCTTAAAGCCATGAAAATTGAACAAAGATCGGGAAGTATATTACGTTTTCTTCATATCTTTGGTCCGTCCGATTTTATTTTGTCTTGATTTCAAAGCATATTTTGTCAGGTGGCACAGGTACCAGTATCTTGTCACTTTATATATATATGGCGTACTTTGACGTATGGTCACATGAACAAAGTATGTTGAAAAATATAATTATTCCAATCCTCGTTGGTGGAAAGTGTAAAATCTGTTTCAAGGCTTTGTAAAAATGTAAAGTGGGTCGTAAAGTCTGTACATAAGAATACAATATAAACATTTCAAATTGCTTCTTGTGAGTTACATAATTATGAATTCCATTTGAGAAGTTGCTGTTTCAGATGTCTTATGCCAAGATATACAACTGTAGCTTGTTAAATAATAAAAGAAAATAGGCGTTAGAAATGCCTTGCTTTAATTCCATAATATTCAGACTCAATTTTTGAACATTAATTTTATACAATGTTTTTATTTTTTTTTAAATAAAAATGTCATTTTATGGGCAAAAAGGAAGGGAAATTTTTACATCTAGAATGTTTCCCTCTGAAATATGAATATTAAATTTTCCCTCATCATCACACACTGCATATACTGATTAAGAGTGATAAATAAAATAAAATTTGAATCAAACAAGGTATTGCATGCCTTTTCAATTTACAGTTATGTATTTTTTGAATATCAAAAAGAAGGAAAATTTCGTTTTTCATCTCTTTACCATTCTGTAAAAAGGAAAAAAAATTACTTTGTTTTTGGTTCTGGGTTTTAGAAAGATTTTGTTTTTTTCAAAATTTTATCCTACGCAAAGGTTAAGGAATGTAATCAACTGATGACATTTTAGAATGTTTCCTTATCTCAACTCTTAAAATGATAATAAATCAAATTTAAATGCGAGAGGATAAAGAAAGGAACACATTCCTAAATGCAAATTAACATAAAAAAAATAAAATTTCCTTTTTTTTATTACATGAAGTTCATTTTACTTAAACATTCCCAACCTTTACATCTATCTAAAAAGGATCAGAAGATTTTCCTTATCACCCTAAAAATTTACTATAATTAACTATAGGTTACTATAGTTAACAATAGTAAATACTTTGATTTACTATGGAACTTTTGTGAGATTTCGATGCTTAAAACCTCTTAAATTTAATACCAACGAGGTAAAATTTGGAAATAAAATGTGAATATACAAGCAATACTTCTATTTAATATCAAGAAAGTGCGGGTATGAATTTGAGAACATAAACTATAACAACCTGAAATCCATTGTAAAAATAATTTGATTTACTATAGTAAAAACTTCGATTTACTATAGTAAACAATAGTTACTGTAGTAAAGTATAGTTAACTATAGAATTTTTTTGTTAGGAAATTTACAAAGATCACAATAAAACCCAATTATAATAATTTTTACTTTCGATCATATGGGGTAAAAATCTCAAAATCTGTCCTATACCAGCCACACTGTGGCATTTTTATGCATATTGCTAGGATATAAGGATAAAATTTCCGGAAAATTTTTCCTTCTACTTTCTATGGTAATTTCTATAAATATAGTAAAACCAGATGTATCGACATTTGTATGCCGACGACAGAATGACGTCATTTACAATGTCATGATTATTATGGGTAGAAACCCTATTCAAGTTAAGTAAATTGTTGTCTTGCTATTGTCACCACATAGTTATGGGTGCACAGGAGTTTGATAATTTCAAAATTCTTCATGTGGACGCCTCAAAATGTTTTAAACCATGTGTGATTTTGGCGTTGACTTTTTTCTAGGTCGGGTCCTTCGGATGAGATCTTAAAAATCAAGGCCCCCTTGTCACGGTAGGCGTTGACACGATAATTAACCCTCACTGCTCAATGGCCCTGAGTGCCAAGTAAAGGTTTAAATTTGAAGACCTTCACCGGTATATTTTGACGTCCCTATTATATGAGTGAAAAATTCTTGAACGGTACGTACAACAGCATACAATGAATCAATCCTCTAGGTCTGTTCAATCTTGCTGTGTGCGATCGCCATAAACGGAATTGTTTGTTTGTTTAACATCCTTTTCGAGAAATTTTCACTCACACTGAGGTCGCCCGCGTGGCGCTGTGGTTAGAACATTCGCTCTAGAGTCGCGGAGTAAGGAGTTGATCCTTACGTCGCGGGTTCGAATCCCACTGTGGGACATGGAGACTGGTCTTTCGGATGAGACCGTATAAACCGAGGTCCCGTGTCGCAGTAGGTGCTGGCACGAAAAAGATCCCTCACTGCTCAATGGCCCTGAGTGCCGAGTATAGGTCAAAAATTTCAGTGTAGCTCTCCACCGGCAAGTGGTGGCGTTTTCATATGAATGAAAAATTCTCGAGAGTGACGTTACACAATTAACAAACAAACAAACACTCATATTGAGACGCCTCCACTTACCTGTGGAGGGCTGCAAATTTGGGCGTATACTCGGCTCTCAGGGCCATTGAGGGAACTTTTTCGTGCCAGTACCTAATGTGACACGGGACCTCGGTTTATAAGGTCTCATCCAAAGGACTGATCTCCACGTCCCACAGTGGGATTCGAATCCGCGACGTCAGGGTCAACTCCTTACTTTGCAAGTTTAGAGCAAACCACTGTTCCATGCTGGCGACTTAACATAATTGAAGAGTGTTTATAGTGAAATAAATGATACTAACCGCGGATTTCATAATGTTATAGCTACTTTTTAAAAAAGTAAAGGTACATTTGCATGTTTTCTGCATGTTTCAGGTGCTTTCTCTGTTGAAAATACCAGGAACAGCTCAGCACTATCTAGAATGTCAATCTGAAGAATGTAAAAGAAACTGTGAATTTTATTGTAACACTTGCCATTTACAATTATGTAAGCAATGCAGAGACGAACATCTAAGGGCTCAAGAAAATAAAAACCACGATGTTGTCATTTACCAAGAACGCACACGAAAACCTCCTCTCCAGAAATGCGAGATCCATCCAACCAAAGATACTGATATGTTATGTGAAGAATGCCAAGTATCGCTATGTTCCAAATGTGCCACATCCCAGGATCACAAAGGTCACAGCTTCACTGACCTTGAGAAAATTCATGCTGAAAATTTAGCACTTTGGCAAGTGGAAATTGACAAAATCTGCGAATATTTTATGCCCACGTCACAAAGTTTGCAAAATGAAGTAAGAGATGATGCAAAGGAAATAAAGAAGATCATGAATAACATGAGAGAATCATTAATTGTAGATGCTGATTCACTTAGGAGCTTTGTGGATGCAGTTGTTACCAGGAACATGAAGCAGATAGACCAGATCGAAAACTCGTTGTTAAAAGATATAGAAACCCAGGAAGATACATTCACTAATTACATCACTTATCTCAATGACCTTGTCAAAGAATTCAACTAGTACTTAACGAACAGGAAAAAATTGTCAGAGGTCATGAAAATTCAATCAATTCCATGTGTGACAAAACCGGTCACACCGGCATATATTCCCCGGAAATGCAATATAGAAGATGTTGCAAAATTACTTGGTGAAATAAGGTTCCCTGAAACAAAGACAGAAACTAGAAAAATAAAGCCAATGAAAATGGCATCAAGCACAGAGCAAAGCACAATAGAATACCTAATAAATAATGATAAGTGTAAACAAGCAGACAAGAAACAAACAATATCTCAATCTTCCTCCATCATAAAAATAAGGAAGTTTAATATACATGGTGCTTATGGTGCACTTCATCTCTCACTGAATAAATCAAATCGAATTTGGGTCAATGATTGGGATGGAAACCTTGTTCAAATAGATCTACATGGGAATCAGCTACAGAAAATAAAAACAAGTCCAAGATCTGAGGGCTTCCACACAGTTACAGTGGACGAGGATCTAATCTTCACGGACACAGTCAAAAAAGCCATCAGAAGAATGACACAGAATAACAAAAGCACTTCATTCATTAAAACAGGAGACTGGAAACCAGTCAGTATATACTCCTCCCACATCAACGGGGATATACTGGTGGGAATGGTAAAAGATAAAGAGGCTGGAATTACCAGGTACGACAAGACAGGAAAAGAAATTCAGAACATTCAGTGGGATAGCAAATCACAGGAACTGTATAGTTCTCCATACTTTATAACAGAAAACCTGAATGGAGATATTTGTACTTCAGACTTCAGTAAGCAGAGGGTTGTGGTTGTGGATGAAGCAGGAAAGCTTAGATTTTCTTACAATGGAAACCAAGAGTCGGTGTTCTTTCCCAAAGGAATTTGTACGGATGTCCTCAGCCATATCCTAGTGTGTGACTATTACAGTGATTCTGTTCACCTCATTGATCAGGACGGTCAGTTTTTGTCTTTACTCATAACGAGACGCGATGGGATAAAGTCCCCGTGCAGTTTGTGTGTAGATGATGAAAACAACCTTTATGTGGGAAAACTCACCAAAGGCATAACAGTGTACAAGTATCTCCAGTGATTTTAATCTAATTAGTGATACAATGAAATGGTTTAATTTTTATTATGCAAGGTGTTCTTTGAAATATTTCATCAACATTTTAAATGCAAACGAACAAATGCTTCTTTACACTTTCTTAAGTGCAAATGAAGTTTTTAAAATTCTATAGGTAGTTTTATAGTTACCTAAATCTAATAAATGGTACAAAAGCTTGGCCTTTCTAAGTAAAGTTAGATTTTTCGCTCTCTGTTTTCATTCTGTCGACAGAAAAAAAAAAACAAAAGAGTGAGATGATTTACACTGGGGCTCGGCATCCTATATGCGTATAAAGGCATGAAGCTTTGTAGTTCATGTACCTCAGGAATTTTCAAAAATTAAATTCATATCTTATTTCACATTATTTTTCTGATGACTTTCCACATATTTTTGTCATTCAATGATCATTTTTGGAAAAAAAAATTTTCACTATTTTTTTCTTCAATCACATCACAATTGAATATTCTTACTCGTCCCACGGTAGTTCATGAGAACATGAACTTTTTCTAATTTGCAAAGAATCTGAAGATTTTTTGTCTAATATAATTGATTACATCCAAAAAGTGATACTATACTATAAGTATGAATACCAATTGTTGTGTTGTGTTGGAACTATACGCGAACAGCGCGTGGTTCATGAAATGAAGCTGAACATTAAAATGAAAGGAATAGTGTTAATTTCTGTATGGTGAACATTTATCTGAAATATGATCTCTCGTCCTTTATCAAATCACGACATTGTTGATCACGAAACATGTGACATGTTTTTATAAATCAAGGGGAAAACTGGTAATTCTGTGTATTCTGTTTAAAAGTTATACAACCTGTTCAACATGCTAAAATCGTTGTCATTCTTCTTTCTATCTCTCTGTTTTGCTTATGGCAATGAGTCATGTGGTCGGAAGGAGATGGAGGACACAATATGCAGCCTCTGTGGACAAAGAAGTGGAAGTCAAACAACAGGATCTGGTACTTTCTACATGTACTCTTATGTCTTATAAGAAAACTGTTTTTATTCATTATTTACATCTCTTAACATCTTGTGATCTTACTTGTTATTATGTTGCTTATTTAAGCTTACTTACATCATTTATTTTTCAATGCCTAATATACAGGGCTGCGCATTAATATCGATATTCCGGTATATTGCGATTCGTTAACAAAAGATATCGTATTGCCATACGTTTTTCCAGTACCGATATACCGGCGAAATGATTGGGCTTTAGATTTATGAAGTAAAATATGAAATTTAAGATGTCAGAAACGTTTTCAATCGTGCCAAACAGTACTAAACGGTAAAGGTTTCTGTTGTATGGTTGTATTTCGTTGCCAAACTGTAGTGAAATCAAATTGAACTTTTTTGCTACAACGTATTTATAAATGTTTTATACACTCTGCTATAAAATTTCTACGTGGAAAAGTGACCCCCGGTCAATATTCTACTGCAAGTAGAGTCATTTTTCGACCATAGAAAACCCTTCCAGGCCGGTAATTCTACTACTCCACACACGTTGAAAAATGACCCCCATAGAATTCTGACCCCCTACTTTTTAACTATGTTATATAATACAAGTAAAAACTTGATTAATCCAGATGTATAATCCGAAGTCTTGCTTAATACGATGTTAACTTTAAGTACATTTCAGTAAATTAAGATCATGAGAAAGTATTGCGTTATTACATTGCGTTATTATGTTCCCCAAACGAAGTTTGGGAACATATTGTTTTTACTCTGTTTCTTATTATTATTATTATTATTAAGGTCTTCCGTTTCAGACGGAAGACCTTATAGTGATTCTACTGTTTATTAAGGTCTTCCGTTTCAGACGGAAGACCTTATAGTGATTCTACTGTTTATTATTATTATTATTTTTTTCCCGTTTTTTGTCCAAGCGATTTCTCAGAGATGGCTCGATGGATTTTCTTGAAACTTTCAGGGATTATGAAAAATAAAATAAACTAAAAACATTTTTAAGGATTTTGCAAAATTCACTTCCGGTCGTCAGATATGTCCAATTTTCGTTTTTTTCAAAAGAGATCATGTCCGGACGATATCTCAGAAACGGTAAAAGATTAAGACCTCAAACTTTCAGGGATTATAGATCATGACAAGTACGTTTGCAGAATATGTTTAAATTTGTCAGCCGTCACTTCCGGTCGTCACAGAAAGTGATCAAAGAAATCAACAATATCAACTTTTCTTTTTTTGGATTTAATCTTGCATGGCATTATTGGATCTGTTTCGCAGTTTTGAAATATGTTGGTCCCACCGGAAACAAAAACGTCAACTTCCGGTTATAAGCGAAAAACTACATAATTTGAGCATTTTACTTTCCCATAAATATCGCTTATAGATTAAGTATTTGAAATGGTTTTTTAATATGTTATTTAGACTGCAAATGTCTAGAGTAACGTCAAATATCTTGGTAAAATTCACTTCCGGTCGCGTGTTTTACTGTCCGCAAAATAAGAATTTGTGCAAGTGAGATCTCAAAAACAGTAAGAGATTAAGACACTAAACTTATAGGAGTAATAGAATTTAAGGAGTAGGCAAAACTATTTGGGTTAATAGCGTCAGGCGTCACTTCTGGTCGTCACAGGAAGTGATCAAAGAAATCAAAAATTTCAACTTCTGTCTTTTGAAATAAAACTTGCATCATATAATTGAATCTCTTTCACAGTTTCTATATTTGTTGGTCTCACTGGAAACAAAAAACGACAACTTCCGGTTATAAGAGAAAACTATGTACATGTAATTGGGATTTTTATCTTTCCCAAAACTATTGCTTATAGATAAAGTTTTTTGAAATGATTTTTATATATGTTATTGAGATTGCAATTGTCTAGTGTGACGTTAATCATCTTAGGAAAATGCACTTCCGGTCGCGTGTTTTTCTATCCTCAAATTGAGATTTTGTTTACCAAATTGCTCAGAAACAGTACATTGCTGAAGTCTAAAACTTTCAGAACTGATAGTCAGTCCTCAGTTTATCTACATCATGTAAAAATCGTACGTTGCCGTCACTTCCGGTCGTGACAGGAAGCGATGCAGAAAAGTGAATTGTTACAGTTTTTTTCTTTTTACAGAAATGTTTGGCTAATGCGCATGTTAGATAAACCATAACCATGCAATTTATTATCACCGGAAGTGCAAACCGAAAAACCGGAAGTTGTCTCAAACATGAGTAGTTTTTCATGGAAACTTTTAGGGAGGATCAGTTGTGAATAATTAAGGTGTAGAATGAACATTTTATTCGTTTGGAGCACTTTCGTTCATGACGAAGTACATAAAGAAAACAGGAAAGTAATTCCGTTTGTTTTTATTTGTATTTACATATCTTTGGAAGCCTTGAGATGACTTTTGTTAATTATTTAGAGTAATCTTATTGGCAAGATTGTGGGTTTTTTTTCGAAGAAGTCAAGAAAACGGAAGACCTGTTATTGCCTAGGCAATAAGTATCTAGTTATTATTATTATTTTTTTCCCGTTTTTTGTCCAAGCAATTTCCCAGAGATGGCTTGGTGGATTTTCTTGAAACTTTCAGAGTTTATGACAAATATAATAAACTTAAAACATTTTGAAGGATTTTGCAAAATTCAGTTCCGGTCGTCAGATATGTCCGATTTCCGTTTTTTCAAAAGAGATCATGTCCGGACGAGATCTCAGAAAAGGTAAAAGCTTAAAATACCAAACTTTCACGAGTGATAGATCATGACAAGTAGGTTTGCAGAATTGGTTTAGATCTGTCAGTTGTTACTTCCGGTCGTCACAGGAAGTGATCAAAGAAATCGAAAATTTCAACTTTTCTTATTTTAATTAAATCTTGCATCACATTATTGTATCTGTTTTGCCGTTTTGAAATATGTTGGTCCCACTGGAAACAAAAACGTCAACTTCCGGTTATAAGCGAAAAAGTACATAATTTTAGTATTTTACTTTCCCATAAATATCGCTTATGGTTGAAGTATTTGAAATGGTTTTTAGATATGTTATTTAGACTGCAAATGTCTAGAGTAACGTCAAATATCTTGGTAAAATTCACTTCCGGTCGCGTGCTTTACTGTCCGCAAAATAAGAACATGTCAAAGTGAGATCTCAGAAACGGTAAGAGAATAAGACACTATACTTATAAGAGTAATAGAACTTAAGGAGTAAGCTTAACCCTTTGGGTTAATAGCGTCAGCCGTCACTTCCGGTCGTTACAGGAAGTGATCAAAGAAATTAAAAATTTCAACTTTTCTCTTTTGAAATAAAATTTGCATCATTTAATTGAATCTCTTTCACCGTTTCTGTATGTGTTGGTCTCACTGGAAACAAAAGACGATAACTTCCTGTTATAAGAGAGAAACTTTGTAATCGGGATTTTTAACTTTCTCAAAAATATCGCTTATTGATAAAGTTTTTGCAATGATTTTTACATATGTTATTGAGACTGCAATTGTCTAGTGTGACGTCAACCATCTTAGGAAAATGCACTTCCGGTCGCGTGTTTTTCTGTCCTCAAATTGAAACTTTGTTCACCTGATTGCTCAAAAACAGTATATGACTGAAGTCTAAAACTCTCAGAACTGATAGTCAGTCACCAGTTTATCTACATCATGTAAAAATCGTACGTTGCCGTCACTTCCGGTCGTGACAGGAAGCGATGCAAAAAAGTGAATTTTTAAAGTTTTTTACTTTTTACAGAAATGTTTGGCTAATGCAGATGTAAGAAAGACCATGACCATGCAAATTATTTTCATCGGAAGTGCCAACCGAAAAACCGGAAGTTGTCTCAAACATGAGTAGTTTTTCATGGAAACTTTTAGGGATGATCAGTTGTGAATAATTTAGGTGTAGAATGAACATTTTATTCATTTGGAGCTCTTTCGTTCATGACGAAGTACATAAAGAAAACAGAAAAGTAATTCCGTTTGTTTTTATCTGTATTTACATATCTTTGGAAGCCTTGAGATAACTTTTATTAATTATTTAGAGTAATCTTTTTGACAAGATTGTTTTTTTTTCCAAAGAAGTCAAGAAAACGGAA